TTTTGCCTGACTCGGGTTAAGGACAAAAATGATGGAACATCCGCAGTTAACCTGACTTTTAATGTACAGGCCAAGCAAATATAATACTAATACATTTCATTTTTCGCAAGTTGAGGCTCTTGCATTTTGACAATTAGCAAAAAGTAAAAAGAAAAAAGAAAAAAGAAAAATAATAATAACAATAACAAAACGAAACAAAGATTGAAGTGTCAAAACTGAAAAACAGAAGATAGGAACTACAAATACAAACAATCAAACTAACAAAAGAACAACAGAAGGTAAAGACAAGCAAGACAAGGTCATATTTGAATGTTACGAAAGATTTGGTGTTGCGAATTTAGGTCGATTTATTGTTAAATGTTACTCTTTAAGTCTCTGTTAGTTAAATGATATTTTAAAGCATTAATTCCCAAGCAACAACCATGCTAGGATACGATCAGTTTAACAAACAAGATTAGTGCTTTATAGTATGATTGGTTGGTTAACTTACAGTATGATTGGTTGGTTAACTTACAGTATTATTGGTTGGTTAACTTACAGTATGATTGGTTGGTTAACTTACAGTATGATTGTTGTTTATTTTCATACTATTTTAGTATTTAAGCACCATGCCATATACAAGGTAAAGTTAATGCTAGTTATTATTTATTTCAAAATATTCCCAACCCTCTCTCTCCAAACGACCTCCCATAAAAAAAATTTGTATGAAAGATAAATTTTCTGTTATTCTATTGAATTTACAATGGTTTACTTTGAAAACTCAAATTAATTAATACCTAAATGCAACATTGCAATATGAAGATTTTAAAAAAGGGAATCTATCAAGAATGGTATGTAAAATAAATTGATTTCCCCGACGAATCGCAACATGGCAGTACAAAACTTATTTTAAGTTTCAAAAAACTTTAAATCGAATGACTTGGAATGAATAAATCTTAATAACACTATTCTACTTTTCTCCTCTTAATTCCAATTTGTTATTTTTATTTTTATATGATAACGTTCTCGCAATAAGATGTTTTTAGATATATTTATAAGCTAAATATGTTTTCAATAGATATAATCAATGTTTTCCCATGTCATCCCATGTCCTTCCCTTTAGTACCATCTCTTTTTCTTGYCAGCAAAGATATCCAAATTTCAATATTGATATAGCTCAAATAAATATTTCTATTCTTAAGGGCACTTGGTCTGGATTGCAAAAAAAAAAAGTGTTTAGTTAGATTGCAAAACTATGTAAGACGAAAAAAGAATAAAAAATTGCAAATACAATTTATTTTCGTTTTATATGAAATAATTTAACGAGTACATCTTTTTTAAAAGAAAATTAAGAAACGCGGATATTAGAAATTCGTTTTAATGAAATTTTAAATGATCTAATAATTTTATTTGCAGCAGAAATTTTCAAAATATTATTCGAAGCTAATATAATTCGAGAAAAAACAAAACGATATTCATTTTTTATATATTACKCTTATATATTTTTTCTATATMTAACTCTTTTAGAAATTCGAATATCAAAAATTCAGAAGAATTTATATAAATGGAAATATTGTAATTTCATTTCATTGCAGTTTTTGTTTTTATTTTTGATTTATATAAAATTTGTAATCCTTTTAATTTTTTAGTCTTAAAAAATAAGACAATAACTTGAACTGAACAACAGTACTGCGATTTCCAGTCACGCGCAACCAGCAAGACCTTCATCACAAACGAAAAGTTAAGTTTTAGTGAACTCCGATCAAAAAGGTTTCTATCGTTTCTATTGGTTAATACAGCAGGAACGACGCGAATACTCACGTGAACACATGCAAACAACAGTTGCACTTATCTCGTGCCTGTGACATAAAAAAAGACCTTTTGAATGGCGTCCACTAAAACTCAATTTTCGTTTGTGATGAAGGTCGAGTTGGTCGCGTGCGACTGAGAATCTCAGTAAACATTAACAGTGTCAAATAAAACAACATTAACAACAACAACAACAATAGCAACGCAAGGAACGTTGAAAAAGAACCAAGAATCTAGTTAATGAAGCAACATTTCGACAACAAAACTTTTGAAACAAGTTTGAAGAAATTCCAGATAACGCAACACGAAAAAGATGCTTATGAGACAAACATAAAGAAGAGGAAAAGTGAGCCGCAAATCAACCTTATTACTTTCGAGTTTTACGAAAACTCACAATTTGGTAACTGAACTTTCCGCCGAGTCTGATTCCTCCTTACCAGAATCCTCTTTGGTCGGAGGCTGCCCTTGATTGTCCGGTGGCTTTTCTTTTTTATTGGTGGCTGGTTTGTGGTCATTTTGCTTTGCTGGGTCTGCAGTCTGGTCTGAAGGCTTTGACTCTGTTTCAGCACCTTGACCATGCATATCAGCCAAAGGGATATTATTACTAGCACCAGCAGCATTCTGATTGCCACTAGCCGGTTTCTTGGTCCCAACAATCTTCGCGTAGGTAGTTTCCTCGTACTTGTCAGGCATTTTAGTATGCTGACCCTTTCGAAGGGGTTCAAGGACAATGCCACCACGACCACCTGGTGGTTGAGTGTCTGCTAAGGATGCGTACGTCACCTCATCAGGTTTCTTTCTTTTATTTTTCTACATTGAAGTAAGGCAAAGAATCAATAAAATAACAATTCTATATATCCAAATGGCATGAGAAATAAAATTGAAGATTGGCATTAAACTAAACTAAACTAAAAAACTAAACTGAATGTTTTATAAGGATTTGTATGGGTAAATGCGCTGGATGGCAAAAGCTTACCAGCCAACACTTTCCCATACACAGCCTTGTAAATATTTGATTTCATATTTATAATGTCATTTCTTCTATAGCCAACATTTGGAGCTGATACTTCGCCCTCTTACTAAAGTTGAGGTGCTCTTTTCATTTCTGGAGTTCATTTTAACTGATTTGCTATCTTTAACGGGATCTGTTAGTGGAAGTCATCTATTACAGTACATGCAGTCTTACAGAGTCAATGGCATAGTATCTACGACTTCCACAGGAAGCCCGTAAATACAAAAGGAAATCAAGAACTTTTAAAATGTTAACGGTAGGATACGTAGCACAACAAGAGCATCTGAATATATATAGTAGAATAGCAAGAAGGTGAACACTAAATTGGGTAGATATCGCATATAAAAGATTGACCTTGCGAATCCCCATAGAGAAGACTGCATTACATTTTAATTAGCTATCTTAAAGACTTCTATGGCCCATGTGCTGTACATAGATTAACACTAAATCATACCTTGGTCTTATCTACTGCAGCATACGTAGGCCCCCCTCCTTCACCTCCAGATTTTGTTTGATTGTCATTCTTGTTTTTTGCACCCTTTCTCACTTCCACTGAATCATAAGCAGGATCGATATGTGATGGTCCATGATGAGCATACTGAGATGGAGAATAACCATCATTGTCTCTTGCCCCGTCTCTAAGTTTTATAAGAAAAGTTATGTTTGAAAGATAAAAGTGGTCTCCAATATTTTAACAAACTTATGATAAATACCGTGTTTCCTCTATAAAGCCCCCTGGGAAAATATTCTTTTTCAGTAAATTGGACTTGAGGCTTATTCAAATATTTYAAAATACAGTAATCAGGCTAATAACCATCAAAGTGAAATATATATATTTTTTATCAGAAATGTATTCTGCTTCAACTAGTACTACCACTCTTATCACCGACACCACTACTTATCTATACCTACCATTCCAACTACCATCACTATTCAGTAACTGTCACTGATATTACTGCTGTTATTCCTATGAGGACACATTACCAATCCTATTGTTTTTCTTAAATTTAACAAAGTAAGTACTTACGTTACAACGACAACTTTTTCCACAACACAATCTAAGTGAATATTAAAAATAGTATTCATACATAGCCAAACAAAACATTAAACTTGTAAGATGGGTGAAAAAGAAGATAGAACAAGTAAGCGAAAGAAAAAGGGAGGGAGAGGGACAAAACAAACAAAAGAACACGCAAAAGAACAAGAAAGAAACTAGTGGACAATGAAGGAGGAAAGTTTAAAAGAAGTACGAAATGTAAGAGATTCGTAAAAAGAATACTTACTTTTCTTGTCCTTTTGTCTTTTCTTTTTGCAGTAACAAACAATCACCATGATTATGAAAATAAGTAACACAACGACCACGACAACGATAACTATAATCATTGCATCAGTTAGAGTGGGTGATGTTGTAGGTTCAGTCGACAGTGTTGTAATTTTAATTCCCGTCGTAGGGGAAGTTGTTGGAGCAAATAAACCTATGGTGACAATAAAATACTAATTATCGTCATCACCACCACCATCATCATCATCTCTTCATCATCATCATCATCATCATCATGGAAATCGGTAAAATTTTCCAGTGCATCGATGAGCTGATTCACTGTGATTAGAAGCCGTTGAGGCCCATACGTCAGTGGTATGCTATTTGCGTTTCATAATTCGATTGGTTGAAAAAATGTACAATGTTTACGGTCTGCCAATGAAATCGAATAAAATAAGTGGATCAACTCTTGATATAATACAAACTCGTTAAGTCATATGGTACTAACCATTCTGAATGCTGTTTAAGTCGATAATTAACCCACGAAGCTTTGGAGATTTTTCGATGACGGCGTTTTTAAGGGGCTGGAG